GGGCGGGGAGCAGTGGTAGGGTTGGTGGCCTGGAAACCCCTTCCTCTGGACCAGGAGCAGTGGGATGGCTGCTCAGAAGCCCCTACCTCCGGGCCGGGAGCAGTGGGATGGATCTAATTTCTTCTTTAATTACCTTCGTGACCCAGTGGTTGTTCAGGAGAATGTTATTCAATTTCCATGTGTTTATGAAGTTCTTGTGGTTTCTTATGCTATTGATCTCCAGTTTAATTGCTCTATGGTCTGATAATATACATGGGATAACTTCAATTGCTTTGCATTTAATTAAACATGTTCTATGAGCTAGTATGTGGTCTATTTTGGAAATGTGCCTATTTATTTTGTAAAATAAGGATAATGGTAGTTCTTATTTCGTATGCTTGGTGAGGGCATTAACTGAGTCAACACATACATGCAAAGTGTTGGGAACAGTGACAGGAAGAAAGGGCTTCTGTTTCCACTCATTGCCTTGAGCCTTATGCTTCAGTCACACCAGCCTGTGCATAATCATTTGCACTCTGCCGTGTTTCTATGTGTGCGTCAACTCTCTGTGTCATTAGTCAAGACTGCTCGCCAGAAAGTATGGCCTAGATATCCATTATCTCTCCTCCTATAACACCTCTTTTATACTTATAAATGAGGTTACTACATTGTATTGTAATTTCCCATTTATTATTTTTCCTCTTCCATCAACTTTATGGAGGGACTAGATTTTATTTATCATTATAGTTTCAGTTCCCAGTATATCATTTGCTACTTAGCACTTATAATTAGTGTTTGCCAAGTAACAAAGAGATAGCCGAGCAAATGAATAATTAGTTGTTTCATATCTTTATGACTTGCATGTCTTAGATTTTAATAATTATGTGATTTGATTTATTTAAAAAATATTTATAGAATTTATATAGAGATCTTGTCTGATTGCTTAAATTTTCTCCAAAAAGTATGAGGCAAGAACTGGATATTTCAGTATCCATGAAAATCAGGAGAGACAAGAATGGAGACGATAACTGGGAACAATGAGGTATGTTTAAATTGGTGGAAATACTAAATTACAGTTAGATAGAAGTTCTCATGTTCCATTGCACATTAGGTGACTATAGATAATAATGCACTGCATATTTCAAAAAACTAGATTTTGAACATTCTCACCACAAAGAAATGATAAATGAGGAGATAGATATGCACATTACACTATATATATATTTACACTATATATATCACATACTATCCCATAAATTTATACAATTATTGTGTCATAAATTTTTTTTAACTTTAAAAAATGGGCAAGAAAGATGACAGTGGACAAGCACCATTTAGGAGAAGAGGAGAAGTTACCCTCACTCCTCAACTCTGGCCCTGGAGCCTGTCCGTGGTCAGGTGGCTGATGGCTTGAAGGATTTAGGGGCAGGTCCCATTCCTCGGAGCAGCACCCTCTCTGGGCCACAGCTCAGGGAGAGTTAAAGATCCTGGCTGTGGAGTTGGCTTTTCTCAGGAAGGAGAAGGGCAGTAGGAGTGGCTGATCTTGAGACCATGCCCAGGATGAGCGCCCACCTCTCCAGCAAGGATCAGCTGGGCCTTCCAGGACTGTTAGATTGCTTCCCTCCTTGACAATGACTTAGATTGAGCAGGTTCACAAAGTCTGAGTTCAGGGCTGAGTTAAGAGTGGCTAAGAGTGGCTAAGATTGCCTAAGAGTGCTTTAACAGGAATGGAATTAATTCATACATGAGACAAATTTTTTATTGCATGACTCTTATGATCTATTTAATCACTTGTGCTGAAAATCGTCTGGTTTGGCGGTACATCTTATATATGCCTGTATTATCTTTCCCCGAGTTGAGATAATCAAATCATTTTACCACAGCTCCCCCTCGTGTCCAGAAGGCCTCACTCCCCCTTTTTTGAACATAACAGAGCATTATCCCTAGAAGTGGGCAAAGTGCCCTAGAGCAATCAGTGAAGAAAAGCCACCAGCACTGGGATATCGGAAAGGTGCCAACTCAAAGTAATAGGTTAGACACCTGTCTTTTTTTCTCTTACCTGAGAAAAAGTGCCACCTCTGCCCACCAGGAGCCCCATATTTTTGCAGTCCTCATGGATTTGATTTACTTCTTCACAAGGAAGAGGCTGGCGGCTCATCTGTGAATGCATTTAAAAAATGTTTTCTATTTGGTGTTTGAGTGGTTAGAGGAGTTATTTCCCAACAAGGAGAAAACAAAACAAAACAAAACAAGCAACTCCAAACCAAAATTCAAGCAATCCATGCTCTGGAAATTAAATAAAGCTGTGAATTGCTGGATGAGATTTTTGGAGGGTATCCTTAAATATATTTGTTTTTATTCCATTTCATCCCAAATCTCCAAAGACAAAATGAAGTTCCTTGCAGATATCCAGTGAACCTTGGCTCTGCTAACAGCTATCCTAGGAGTTTGGTTCTTGCTAGATAAATTTGAAGTCGGTTTTATTTTTGTTGAAATTCTCCTCAACTCTGCATGGTGTCCTGACCATGTAAAGAGCTCCTTTCAAAGTCTAGGGACTGACTCAGCAACTGCACAAGCAGCCCAGGGTTTCCTGGGCCACAGCTGGACCAGGGCCTCATCCTCTCTGCTTGTGAAATTTGCTCTGTCTCTCCCAAAAGTTCATGCTCCAGGGTCAGGAAACATAAGCACTTCAGGAAGCAACAGGCTCTGTCTGATCTCTAGGCATCTGATGTTCCTCAACCTGAGGGCTCAGCCATGCCAGTACTTGTTGGGGACATTGGGCTGGGCCCTGCCATTTCAGTCTGTGAGCACAAATACCTCCTACTAATTTAATTGTTACAAGTCTGATTCTGCCTACTTTACCAGGAAGGCTTTCACAGTACAAATATTTGGGCCGCATGTTAAGCCAAATTAAAGTATTTGGGGCAGAATTTAGGATTTGTATTTTAAAAATTATCCTCAGGTAGGTGGGGAACTCTAATCCTCCTTTAAGGAGCCCTCAGTGCTGTTGCTACCCTTATCTTCCCTCTTTCCTCTGTAGACCAGCCAGGAAACACCAGCCCTGGGCCTTGTTTTCTGGTTTTAGATGCTTCAGACATGATTCTTGCTCATGGCTCAGCCTCGGCAGGTAGAGCATGGTTTTCTGTAATACACTGAGCTTCTTTTTTTCCCTCCGGTTTACCTACATACCCTCCCTCTGGGCTCTGTCATCCACTCCTCTCTTCCCACCAGCCTTTCAACTCTCTCCCAAATCCTTCATTCTTTGTAAAGTATTGGTATCTGAGAGCAAAATATGACTGGGCTTCCTAGAGATGTTTGCATTTTTCTCTAGCTTAAAGCTTTAGGATAAGGAAAGGAACATTCCAACTTTCACACCATTAAGTAAAGGAGGGCCTGGAATGGGGATGGAGGACAAGATGTGAATCCTCTCATTGATCTCAGAATTCCATCATTCATCCTGCTTGCTCCTGAGGTTCTCCTCTATTGGAGAAAGAAGACTAAAATAATTGAAGGCTAAAATGTGAGAACTGGAAAGAAATTAAATATGATTAGAGGGATGAGAGCTCGGAAGGGGGCCATTGGCACTGGAAGGGTTTCCTGAGGGGAAGATGAGTTGGTGGAAGCCTCCCCTAACTTTAAGGCATCTGAACAGGTGGAGTTTGTTTGGCTCCACTCCAACACTGGTTTGGGCAGGTATCCTCCATGTTTCCTTGCCCATTTATTCCACCCTCACTTCAAATGCTGTAAGTAATTGAACATTTTGTCTGCATTCCACAAAGGCTGGAAACTCCAAGGAGGAAAACCCAGAGGGCAGCCTGCTCAGGCCCCACGTTCCTGCCTGTATCCCAACTGCTTGATAATGAAGTGGGCATGTTAGTAATTAAATTTTTTGTTGGGTGTCTATTGTATCTTTATGTTAATCTTTTTTTGGTGAATCTGTATTTAAATAATTTAAAAAAATAATCTGTGATTACTGAGAAAATTAAACTGGTATGAAAGTTCATGAAGTAAAAATGAAAACTTTCTCCTCCCTCCATCTTATGCCTAGGGACACCTTCTGCTGATAACTTGGTATGATCTGAGCACTTTTCTGTGCATGAAGACACCTTTATATACATATTTTAAGAATAAAAGGTATTACACATACTTCATAATGTTATAATGTTCTGCAGTTTTTTCAATAATTTATACAGTATACCCCCTCAAAGTTGCAGTTCAGAGTTCGAGGCCTCAGTCCTTCATTAATTTTTCCTTAAAATCTAACTAATAATGTTCTTTCGAGGAAACCCCTGCAATTTTGTGGAAAACTGCAAATATCCTCCACAATTGCTTTTTGGAGGGAGGTTTGCAAGTAGCCAATCCAAGAGTGTTATTCAGTTCTTCTTGCTGCGGATTGGCTGCTGCCTGTAACCCATCTCCAGCGTATCCTAATAGGTTGTTGTACTGCGTGTTGCTATCTGCAGGGTTCAGTTTTGTTCTTAAAGCCCTAAGATTTCCTAAGATGCTGTCAAAATGCCCAGCACTTTCTTAGGCATTATTAATACAGTATTTATTAAATTAAATTACATAACTGCAGGAGATATAGCATGTTTAGAGTTTAAACTCTAAAAATATGCATTTAGGGCTGGGGATTTAGCTCAGTGGTTTCACCGCCTCCTGGGCAAGCGCAAGGACCCGAGTTCAATCCCCAGTACCAAAAAAAAAAAAATGCATTTATAGGCATTTTTCTGACCCTATTTGAAATTTGCAGTTTTTCACAATTCATGGGTGTTCTAGGAATGTAAACCCCACGAATTCCGGGTGTCCACTGTACTATATCTTGGACATCTTTCCATGTGAGTATATTTCTTTACTTAATTTCTTTAAAGATTGCCTAGTACTTCATTATCTGCTAGTAATTCTTTCCATCTCCTATTATTGAGCAATTAGATTGTTTCCAATTTTTCATGACTATAAATAATGCTGCCAACATTCCTGTTCATATATATTTTTATATGCATTGTTGAGTATTTTTTTTAGGACACATTTCTAGGAGTGGAATTGCAAGGTCAAAATATATAGACATTTCCAGTTTTTATAGATACAGACAAATTGCTATCCAAAGGGACATACCGATTTACATTGTCACTGATAGCATGTGGGAGTATCTGCCTTGGGTTATGCTAGACAGAACTATAACAAAGTTCTGGGATGCTTTAACTACGTAAGTGTGGCCTGAAGTGCTGCAGGGACTTGAAACCAATGCACACACAAAAAAGCACTGTTTGCTTTCTGACCTCAAGAGTATACAAATTATTTAGGAAAATAAGGTATTTACACATTAAAAAATTGAGTCAATAAGTACATGGTAGATGCCAAAGAATGAATGTTTCTCCTTCCTGACCTCTTCAGATCCCTCCCAGTTTATGTCATGAGGATGGAAGCTTCAGGAATGGAATTGGTTCCCTTACAAAAGGCCCAGAGAGCTCCTTGCTGCAAGTTACAGCAGTAAGATGGCTATCTAGGAACCAGGAAGTGGGCCCTCACCAGACACTGATTTATGGACACTTTGATCTTGGACTTTTCAGCCTCCAGAATTGTGACAAATACATTTCTGTCATTTATAAGATACATAATCTAAAGGCCTTTGTTATAGCTGCCAGAACTAAGAGAGTGGAAAAAATCTTTCCAAAAGAGCTCCTTCGACAGTGAGTACACAAGGAATCCTCTGAAGGACAAGGCCCCTGCATGGGGAGAGGCAAAGCTTAGCTTTTAGGAGGAGGTGTGATGCAGAACTGGACCTTGGAGAAGACTAGGACTTCGGTAGGTAGAGATAGAAAGGAGAGTGCTGCATTCTGTGTTGGAGGACACTTGGGCTTAGAAGAATGAATGGTATTAAGGAGACCATGAGTAGAACTGGGGACTGGAAGAGCTGAGATTTAAATCAAGGCCCAAGATTATATGGCAAAACAAAATGAAAATGAGCTCATTCTACACATACTGCTTTATGAGTTGTTTTACTTTTCTACAATATAGTTTGAACATCTCTCCATAGCTTTGCCATGGTAGTAAGGATATACTATAATTTAACTTGTTCTATATGAGTGGCCTTTTGGGAGGATTCTAATGTTTTTGCTATGACAAAGTTCTGATGAACTTTTGTTCATATGACTTTTGACCATGTAGAAGTTGTGTTTGGAATAGCCCCACCCCTCCTTTCCCAGAGTTTTTTTTCTCTGAATTCTTGACTTTTGAGTGTAGATATATTTAGGAAGTTCCTGGGGGTGGAGACTAGAATGGACTTTTAAAACAACTTTGTACTGGGCCACAGCTGAAGGTCTGTACAGAGTGGCTCATGAGCTAGAGAGCTTCATCTCATTCATTCTTTGTTTTCCTACTGTCTTCCCTCAGTTTTCAAATATCATTTAAATCAGCCAGCTTTGTTCTGGCTTTGCCATATGGCATTAATGAAAGAATTTTGTATTCATGGTCTGGCCTGAATATTAAAAGAATTGAGCACCAATCCTTCTAAAATAGTATGGTTAGACCAAATTTGTAGCAAGAAATTAGTCAAGGGAAAGCTGGATCCTGTGGACAGAAGTTAGAGTTATGAGGTTGGTCTGGGGACTCTTCTCTATGCCAAGGTTTCCCTTCTTTTCTCTCCTCAGACTAGTATTCTGCTTCCCTGGAAGAAAGGCTCAATTTCCTACTGGCATGGACTTTAGAGTCATCAACAACAGAAATAGACAAGCAACAGAAGGATTTGAGAGATGAGGCAAAGAAGGCATCCACAGGAGTTAAAGATTATTTTGTAATATTGAAGCTGGGAGTGGGAAGAATGATGGAGGGTGAGAAACAGAGACAGTGTCACTGGGAGGAATAGTGCTAAATTCAATTGTTGTAATGTTGAGTTCAAGATATCAGAGGAGTGCATTCATCCTGGGTTACTCAGGAGATTAAAAGCCATTCAAAATCAATCAATCAATCAGTCAAACAAATACAAAACTGAATACATTTTTAACACCCTCACCCCAAACCTTCCCCATGGCTTTCTCCTGGTCCTTTCTCTTTTCTTTTCTTTTTTTGGTACCAGGGATCAAACTTAAGACCTTGCACTTGCAAGGCAGGCAGCAGCACCACTGAGCTAAATCTCTGGCCCCTTGTCCTTTTTCTTTATTTCCACCAGCTCTCTGGGCTACCTGCCCTTTCCCAAATAATTTCTTCTCTTCCATGTATTTCCAAGTATTCATTCATTGCCCATATTCTTTATCTTGTCTGGTAAGAGTAATATCAGCTCTCCTTTCCAGTTCTCCTCCACCTCTCAGAATTCCTCATGATCTGCTAACATTTTCTTCATACTCAGTACTCCCTATTCATCTTGCAAGGGGTTTATAAGTCTTGCTGTCTGCATATGCTTCCTCCCTGAAAATGAATGAAGCATGCTTTAGGCTGATGCTTCCTACATGAAGTCCTACTGGCTCTGAGCAGCTGGCAAGAGAGCACCAGACCAGGACCTACCTTATCCTGCACCATTTCAATCCCCACCATGAGGCCTTTGCCTCGCACATCTCCAACAATGTCAAACTCTTCTCGCAGCTTAGCGAACTTCAGTAACATGTAGGTACCAACGTCTTGACTGTTTTCCTGTGCCTTTTCTTCTTTAATTACCTGTTGAGAGAAAGCCCCAAAGACCTTACATGGAAAAAGTTCTAAGACTGACTGAGAAGCACAGAGATATTTGTCCATGCTTTTTTCTTTTTGCAGCACAGGGGATTGATCCCAGGACCTATGCAGTGAGCTACACGCCCAGTCCTTTTTTTATATTTATATATACATATATATATTTTATTTTGAGACAGGGACTCACTAAATTACCCAGGCCTAAGGCTCAATCTTTCGATCCTTCTGCCTCAGCCTCCCAAAGTGCTAGGGATTATAGGCATATGCCACCATGTCCAGCTTCCATAATCTTTATAATAATTTAACCAGACAAATAGAAACCAGAACAGAGTCTAGTGTGCATACACCATGGGCTAGAATAAAGGTTTGCTGTAAAGGATAAAAAAGTCTTGGTAGAAAGGTTGTTTCCTTCAGATACTTCTTCCTTTCAGGGATGAGTAAGAATTTAGGAAAAAATATGTTTGTCCAAGTGTAGTCAGTAACACAAATTCTAGAAATTCATTATTTCCAGGCTTTGCGGAGAACTAAGATACAGAGCTGAAAAAGACAAAGGTTCTGAGGAAAGAACATTTCCCTCCTGGGGGATAGTGACCTTTGTCCAGCAGCCCTTAGCCTGACACAGGCTCTCACAGGCCAAGCATGTTAGCTTGGAGCTGGCTTCTTTAGCCAAGCTGAGCTCTTTTTGTGCCCAGAGAGAGGCAGGGCACCTAAAGATATAAAAGGATTTTCACTTAAGTTCCACTCACAAAAGACACCTGTGAGTCTGGTTAAGACATATAAAATATAATGCCTTCATATTTATCTGATAATAATTGCATGACTCCAGATAAATCTTGATGTTTTTAAGACCTGTTAGTTTACTTAAACCCTTTCTACCTTCTAAATTGGATACAAATGACAAAACGATTAACAACAGCAAAAGAGCTGGCATTGTCTACAGAATGAAATAAATGATATATTCTTACCCTCACTTTTTCATCTCATGATCTAGTCATATTTGAAAATAAGTGTTTAATTAACAAAAGCACCATTGACATTTTTATTTAAAATACCTTTAAATTTAATTATTTTTGAAAAAGGTAAATCATGTTCACCATTCAAAAATCAGGAAGTATAAAAGTATAGCCAGTAGAATGTCTCTTGTGATCCTTGTCTCCAAACAAATTTCTCTTGCTACAAATAACTACTGTTGTTACCCTTTTGGACATTCTTCCAGAAATATGTCATACTTAAGCAAATGATATTTTGTCAAGGACATTTCAAAAAAGACATTTTTAACAGAAAAATTGGCTGTCACCAGGCGTAATCAATGAGACAGGGCTGAACAATTGTTAGCTGAATTACCTGGCTGGAATCATAACTTATTTTTTCTTTAGTTCTTTAATTTATTACAGCACAACAAAGGAAAGGAAGACAAATACCCACACAGTATGGGGCCAAAATTAAACTGAAAAGTTGGATGGCAGTTACTAACTGTCCATAAAATGCTACTCAGATAACAAAACATTTTCCATGGTACCCCTTGCTAGGGGCATCCTTATGTTTCCCATGTATATGAGGGTAATTATATATTATTTCTTACCCAATGCTTCAAGTACCCAAAGTAGATCTTTAAAAAGGAGGAAAGGGGGTTGGGGATTTAGCTCAATGTTTTCGCCACCTGCTACACAAGCGCAAGGACCCGGGTTCAATCCCCAGTACCAAAAAAAAAAAAAGGAGGAAAGGAATAATTACTACAAATCTAACTTAAGTTGATGGATTACTTATTAACTCTCCACTTTAAGACAATGTGATAGAGTTATGACAATGTGTGTGGCTTTGAAAGAATAATTTTGTGAAATGTACAATGTATGAAATGTGACTGCTGGAACGCACCTCAAGCACAGCGGATCCAATGGCACAGGCCATAGGGTTCCCTCCAAAGGTGTTGAAATGAAGCATACATCTAGCCAAGGATTTGGCAATTTCTAGGGGAAAATAAAATGTAGATAGAGTAACACATCCCATCCATCACCTCCCATCACACACTAGGATTACATACACTGTCATGTTATAAATGTTCTGGATAAGTGAGATTCAATGTGCTTGGCTCTTTTGTTGATGAGACATGAACAGAAATCTTTAGCCTATAGCTGATTGGTATGGTAAGACCAAGTAATCATGTGTTTCTTTCAAGAATATGATATTTGGAGAAGTTTTAGGGTAGGTTTTGTGGCATATTTTCCTACCTCTTGTGAGTGTGGTGGAACCCTAAATTTAATTGAGGAATGAGAGAATAAGTTTTCTTTATAGAAAAGGGCAACAGAAAAGGCTGGCTTTTTCCTTCTGCCCCATAGTTTGCCAGACAGATTGATTCTCTTCCTTATTTGCCTAGGAAGTGCATCATGTGATTTCCATCACTGCCTCTTATCCATGAAAATTTTAGTCCTCATGCTTTATAACAATTGCAGGAGGCCCAGAGGCAGCCATGGACTATCCAAGGTCCTACCTTGAGTCGTCACAACTGCTGCCATGGGAAAGCCATTAGCAATCCCTTTAGCCATGGTGACAATGTCAGGTAGAACTTCATGGGTTTGGAAGCCCCAGAAGTGAGAGCCCAACCTTCCAAATCCTGTCTGCACCTGATGAAAACAGATTCAAAATCACTGGAAACCTTTGGAGAGAATCCCCTCCCCCCAGTCTGTTCTCTTCTTCATCATCCTGGTCCTTTCTCTCCTCTTCTTCTTCCTCCTCCTCTGTTCTCTCCTCCATATCATAACCACCATCCTTGTTCTATCCCTCAATCTGTGTCTAAGTTTTTAGGTGTGAAAAACCATTTACCAGCTTGGTGCGATTCTGGATATGTTCCTTAAGTCTTCTGCATCTTGGTTAACTTATGTATCAAGGATGATGAGACAGATACCGAGACAGAAAGAGACCAAAGAACCTTCACCAGAAAGGCTGTAGCAGAAATTTGCAGGAAGATGTTCATGAGGCTTTTGTTCAATAGGACATTTATCAAGTAGAAATATTAAACTCAACACATCACAGGGCTGCTATGAGGATCCTCTAAATAATGCATATGAAAAAGTTCACCATGATGAACAATTCTTATAAGCATTTCCTGTGTGCAAGACAGTGGGTAAAAAAGTGGAGAGGTTGCTTCTTGCCCAGGCTGGAGGAGCAGGAGTTTCTGTCTGTCCAGTGGGCCACCTAGCCCAGATAGATTGGTTGTGCTCCCTCCTTCCTGAGAGCTATGGTAGGAGAATGGCCAGTTGAGCCAGTGAACTCAGGGTTGAACTTCTGTACTCTAGAAATTGCTGTGGTTTGTACTAAAAGTAGGCCTGAGATTTTGTGCATGCTCTCTTCTCTCTAAAAGATCCTCTTCCTGCCTCTTCATCTCAGTAACTTCTTTTCTTTTGAGACCCAGCTTCATGGTCACCTGGTCTAGGACACTTTTCCTGAGCCCAGTGGGCTCCCACTCAAGGCAAACTGGACATGGTGCCATCAGAGCCTCTCACCATAGATTATTGTTACAAATGTACATATTTGATGGTAGGGACAATGCTTTATTTCTCCTCTGTCCAGTGCTAGCAGAGTGCTTGATACAAAGTTGACACAGTGTTTGTAGAATGAATGAAGGAATGGCAGAAATGTCCTACTGAACAAAGCCTCATGAACATCTTCCTGAAAACTTCTGCTACAGCCTTTCTGGTGAAGGTTCTTTGGTCTCTTTTTTTTTATTTAACAAAAAATTTAATATTAAAATGTGTATGACTCAATTTTCGGTCATAGTGAAACTAGCGCTTTGAAGAGGGGCATGGATTTCTCTGCTGAACGGTTATTTAAACTCGTTCCAGGGCTTCCAACATGATGATACTATTTCCTTGTATTACCACCATTCCAATATTGTTCTGTTGCCCACTAGTTGCCATCTCCACACATTCATCTGTCACAAGATTCATAAAGGGGTCAAACCCTCGCAATGTTCCTTGGACATGTCTGCCACCATTTAATCTCAAGTCCATAAATTTTTTCAGCTCGGGAGGGTGAGCCTTGCTCATCTTGCCTAATCCACGGGCTCAGAGATCCTTTTAGGTTCTTTGGTCTCTTTCTGGCTCGGTGTCTGTCTCGCTCTGCATATACACTACACATTCTAGGGTGAGATAAGTGCAGGCACCTGGAGCTCATTCTAAATGCAGCTAAAATAACACGTTTCTTTCTCAGGCGTTTTTGTTATTTCCCCTACTCACTCCAGGCTGCTGTAAGAAAAGCAGATTCATGGGGTTATTCTTTGAGGACAGTGACCAATACAGGGGAAGAGTTTAGACATGGGTGTGAGACAGATCTGGGCTTGAATCCTGGGTTTCTTTCTTCCTAGTTATGGGTCTCCAGGAAAGCTGATTAACTGGTCCAAATGAGATAATATAGGAAAATCTATCCATTTCATCTTCCTGCTTATTTCCCTTTTTCACTTCATCTACCTAATGCCATAAATAAATGGTATAAATGATGAAACATAAGATGGCTTGGACAATGTAGAAAATGGTGTAGAACAATATACCATGTTTAGTCACCTAGGAAGAATAAGTTTCATGGAATTGGATGTGTAATAGTACAGAAATGGATCACTGTAAGGTGTATAAACTCAAATGTCTTGGAAATGACTATGTCTGAGTGGGTGGCTCTAGGAGGGAGTGGGGCTCTGGATGTGCACAATGTCTGAAAGCAGTCAACATCAAATTCATTAGGACTGTTCTTTCTTAGGGTTACCCCATATGAGACAGTTTCTGATTGTGTTCTTCAAAGTCATGAGCCACATCTCCTAGAAAATTCTGAAATTTGTATTTTCTTTGAATTCAATCTACCTTCCCTTTAATTAGTCTATGGCAGTTTCACTATGTCCTGATTTAGAGACCAATGTTTATTGTCTTCCTTGATGTAGCTAATTTCAAACTGATTGAATAGAGTTTTCTTATTTTGTAACTAGCAGATTAACTTTCTTTTTGTAAAATTTTATGTTATTAGTGCATGAAGTTTACATTCACCTTAGGGAGTAGGTGCATGTACATACCACATCTTGATTCTTTTAAAATCTCTTTCCCCTCCCCACACATCTCTCTCTCTCTCTCCATCTCTAAATCCCCTTTCGTCATCTTCAGTATTATTGTTATTATAATTAGTTCATGTTTATGACATATAGTGTTTACATTTATTGTGGGTATTTGGTACATCTACCAGACACATCTTAAATCTTTTTATTTTCCCTTCCTCTCGCCCCTCCTTTGCCCTTGGTCACTTGGACCCTTTCCCACTTGCAAAAGATCGATCTTCCTGTTTCTTCTGTGCATTGCAAAATAAAAGACCAACAGATTAACTTTCCTCAGTGAGGACTTTGCTCAGTTTGCAGGCAGGCTGGGGAGAGAGGATGGCTGTGCAGGCCGAGGGCACCAGGAACATCAGTGCATTGTATTCATGGCACAACAGACCTAGCTGCACAGGAACTAGAGGCACCTGAAAAATTTCAGCCACGGGGCCAGCTCCACATTAGCTGTAGGGAATTTTTAAGTGAAGGAAAGTATTCAGGCAAAGATGGCAGGGCTGGCAGAGGCATGGGACATGTAAGTTCTGTACCTCCATGACACTGGTGACCCTCCTCTGGTCTTTTAGTCTTCATAGCTATTGTCAGAACATAAAAGCCTGTTTTCTTTGATGTACTCTAGTATGAAGCATACTACTAATAAGTAAATAGATCCTTTTTAAACACATGGACTAGCGCTTACCCAGCCAATAGGTGTTATTATTTTCAAAGTACTTCCCGTGGAGGTATTGTATGTTTATTAACTCAACCCCATGATTTTAATTTTTTGAGGGAACTATTTTCCAAATACCAGTAATGGTAACACTCTTCTAATTTATTGCCTGGATTATTATTTGTTTTTTCTTTAAAAACATTTCTAGGCAAGCATGGTCAGAAAGGTACCTACTATCAAATTGGTTAATATTATTTTGGTAAATTAAGATGAAAACTTGTCTATGAGGTTTAGTTTTCTAGCTGGTTTGTCAGTACTCCTGCTGAAAACACCAGAAAGGCATACGCGTGCATGCATACACACACATACACATGTGCGTGCACACGGACGCACACACACACACACATTGAGTAATGGTAGCATCACTGATACCCATTAGCAATTTATTTGATAGACATCAATTGGATGTTTAGGTTATGTTGTACCTGTTAAATTGACTAACTAATCTAACCTGTTGGCCAATTAGCAGAAGCTGCCCTAATTTATGGTCATACACCAGAGTTTAAACAATTGCTGTTTTCCATCTGGAATTCCACAGAAAGTTTAAATAGGGTTTTCTCTGTGCCCATCTTGACCCTACCACACTAAATCATGGCCTGCCATTGCTACTCACTTCATCAGCAACACACACTCCTCCCCTTTCTCGCACCAGCTCAAAGGCTTCTTTTAGAAACCCCTTTGGGTACTGGACAATGCCATTCACACCCTGCAAAAGACAAAATCAAGAAGACCTATAAGCCAGGCATGGTGGTGCACACCTGTAATCCCAGCACTCAGGAGGCTGAGGTGGGTTGATCACCATGAGTTTGAGGCCAGCCTAGGCTACATCAGTGCAAGCCCTTTCACAGTATTAAAAAAAAAAAGGCAGATCATTATCATAATAGTAATATTAATGATTTTATAACCAGTCCATAAAACTATTCCAATCATGCCTTTTGGAAAATGAATGAAATATTTATTCTTTTCTGAGATTAGAGAAAAGTAGAATAAGGGATCTTGATGAGATTTAAGGAAGACTCACCTTGACATTGTAAGTGTTGAGCAACTAAAAATCATGGGGATTTCCTTTTCCTGAGAATTTCATCTAAAAATGGAGGTCAGTTTAAAATCAAGACTTCATGTTTTTAAGGGGACCAAGAAAATGAATTAAATTTGGAGAATGACACAACAATGGATACTTAATTATCTTGGAATTCTCTAAAATTTATGAATTAAAACTCTCTTCATGTAGAGTTGAGGTCAACTGTGTAAGGTTCACAAACTTACTTGGATTGGTTCTGCAAAAAATCCAGCAATTGACTTGGCCACACTAGTGTTCAGAGTATCTTTGAACTGTTCAATATACTGGTCTTTAGCTTGGCAGCAGTCTGCAAAAAACAAAAAACAAAAACAAAACACACACACACAAAGAAACACACAAACCACAGCATTTAAAGATGTGAGAATGGGATGCAGAAGAATGGACAAAAATCATAGAGAAAATAAGAAAAATAGAGTAAATTAATTGGAGAACCTCAGAATATGGCAAACGAGGCTATGAAGATGTTTGTTTCTGAGAAGGAAGGGTTGTGTAGAAATGACTTGTAATTATTAGGGTAGCCATAAGGACATGAAAAACCACTGCAGGCATTTCCACCTGGGAAAGAAATGCCCCCAGGGCGATGCTGAATGTAGCATAGCTATTTCACTGAAGGATATTCATCCTCTTAAATGGGCGGATCTAATTCAAATCTAATTGGGGTAATTTAATCTACTTAAAACTTACTCTAATTAATAGGAAAAAAGAGAAAGAAGAAAAAGGTATTGTAATCCAGAGGAGACAATGTGTCTAAAAGTGTACTTTGACTTAGTACAATTGTTTTGCATGTTTTATATGTTCTTTGTCCTATTACTTTGGTTTTCAATCTGTGTATATAAATGACTTTATAAGGTCTTATAGGATAAATAAATGAATCTGCTGCTGGAAAAATAAAAGGGAGGTGAAGGGAGGGAGGAAAAGGAAGGGAATTGAGATGTGTTATGTACATGTATCAATTCCCTAGAGTGAATGTTATCATTATCTACTACAAACATGTACTAATAAAAGTAAAAACATTTTTAAAAACTCAACTCATTTACTTTTTATCACTACCTAACCTGATCTATAGTTTTAAAGAGTAAAGTGTTTCTGACTCTAGTCAGTAAAGGTGTTTGTAGAATTATTAGAATTCAATCCAAAGAGGAATAGGCTAGAATCAGATAACTTTCACCCACTGTGGCTCTTGGCTTTTGGTCCCATGGTTGTTTACAGATCTTTCCCTTTTAATCAAAAACAGAAACTATGCCTTGTTCATTTTTGAAATACTGTAGGTGCTCAGTAAATATTTGATGAACTGACAGGGGAACAAACAGTAGAAATTATGCCTAGTGTCAGAGACTGAACAATTTCTTTGAAAATCTTTCTTCTCTGGATAGGGAATAAAATGTCCTTGTTCAAATGATATGTTTAATTTAGTAATTCTCTTTTTGACTGGATCCAATTGCTTGTAAACCCACTCACTATCTTTTAAATGTCAATGATTACTTTTTTATTACTAGAAGATATACTCATTTTCAAAATTTGCTTTGTCAATCCTTATAGTTTCTTATCTCCACATATTTATTTTCAAGCTTATATTTGATTTCCTTTAAATATATTAAACACACTCATCTTCTAGTCTATCTTATAACTGTTATTTGAAATCCCTGTGGGTCTTTTTCATGACTGTGGAGTTTTGTTTCCTTGAATGTTTGTTATTCTCTTTTTTTGTTTGTTACCGGGGATT